AAACTATAATCATTTTTGAAAATATTTTTCTAATTTTAACTTTTAAGTCTTTAAGAACAACAATCTATATATATATATATATATACATATATATAAATGAATGTATGTCTATGGTAATGTCCATAGATAATGTCTATGGTAATGTCCATAGATAATGTCTATGATAATATCCATAGACAATGTTCATCGGTTACCATGATTACCAATGTTACCATAGTTACCATGGGTTTTGAAGCTATTATAATAATAATTATTGGTTGCCGGGCAACGAAGTGCAAGGGATCATTTGGTACAGAGATAGATTAGACCTCTGGGCAAAAGATAGACTAATTTAAAAAGGGAGAGGACCAACCCCGGGAGGAGCTCAAACAGGGATTTTGAGATTTCCAATGGAAATTTTTGTTTATAAATGGTGGCCATGGGTTCTTAAGCTATTATAATAATAATTGGTTTAAAATTGTTGTTATGGTAACGTTATATTATAAAATAAAACATATTATTCATATAGAGTTGATATTTTTAATGGGCAACAAAATGCACGGAATCAGCTAGTTCTAAATAAAATATGCATTTTACCATTATTGTCTTTATCGCTTCTAAATTTTTACTTTTTAATGACAAAATTAATTTTTAATTTGGTTTTTTTGAAGTAATATAGTACATTCATAAAAGTCGAATAGTGTAGTTTATGATTATAAGTATTTAAAGTTTTGATGAGCGGATTGATGTGAAACATGAGTGTCACGGGAGTACCTATACTCCAGCATGTTGATCCTCTACTCTGCTCATCTATGTTTTCAATACTTAAAACTCTTAAAAAGCTCGTGTACTATTTAATTTTTTTCAAATATGAAATTAAAAATGTACGGAGACGTTCAAATTAGTAAAAAACTTAATAATTACAAAAATTAAAAATAGTAAAAATATAATTTTTAAATCCTTGTTTTGTGTATAGACTCTATAGATCTTATAAGGAATCTTGTACTACATTTTAAAATCTTAGATTTAAAAAGAAAATTTTTTACGAATTCTTAACTCAAAATAATTTGCTAATTTTCTTGATTTTTCCATATTTTGTCAATTTTTGAACTTTAAATGATTATAAAAAAAAACTGTGACTGAGGATTTTTAATATTTTTCAAATGTCATTGTAACTAAACAATATAGTAGGAGCCTTGTATTAAATTTTAAAATATTTTTACTCAACAAATAAAGTTTTATTGACATTCATAGAACAAAAACTAATAAACTGAAAATGTCCCTAAAAAGTTCAAAACAAATCAAAATATTTTGAACATTTTATCATGTGTAGGAAATGGAAATATAAAACAACCAGTGAAAATGTATCTATGGTAATTTGTTTTAAAGTTACACCAAAAACCGAAGTCGATTTTATGAAAAATCAATTTTGCGTATAAATTCCCGTTTTCCCTTCATTTTTATTTTATTTTTCTTGGTGCTTTTGAAAGTTACTGGAAATTTTAGTTTTGACCTCCCCAATGCACCAACAATATTCACTTTCCAATCGAACAAGATACCAAAGTTGAAAATCGAAGCATTATTTCAACTACTTATCGTGTGCACAGCACAAAAAATAATAAAAAATAAAACACACATCATTGTAAAATAAATACATTTATCGTTCCACTCAAAATCTAAAATAATTTTAAATGTCTTGAATGTTCAAAGAATCAAAATATTTTTAAAATTGTATCTTTTACAGAAAATGATAAAATAAATATTTCGTAAAAATGTATTTTTTGGATGATGGATATTCTTTTTTGAGTTCATTAAGTATTAACAGTTAACACAAAAAACGATTTTGTCAAAAACTGGTTTTACGTAAAAATTCCCCTTTTTCATGAATATTGTTTTATTTTTTGATTACCTATTCAGTACTTGAAATTTATTACTTTTAACCCTTCTAAGTATCAGCTAGATATAATTTTTCACTAGATACCTACTACCCTCAATTTAGTAAATTGAATAATTTTTAGTGCCTTCAATAACAATTTTGGACACAAAAATAAAAAAATAACATAAAAAATAATAAAACTTTATAATAAAATCAATATTTTCATAGCTCCACTCAGAATTTAAAATATAAAAATTTAAAGTTAAACGCTTATCAGAAAAAAATTATAAGAATCGACAATGCATTTTAGATATTTTTGAATTGATGAAGAATGCATGATGAAATTACCATGACGAACCATTTAATTTTCATAATTTTTTATGCTCAACAAAAATATTTGTCAAACGTATACATTAAGGCATTAAGCGAATACAACCTAGAAATAGTCCTATGGGCTATGACTAATACCAAAAGTGGCAAATTATTTTGAAAATTATGTTTATTTAGTTAATGCTAGTATAAGTATTTGATGACATTTTTAAGTCTTACTTTTTAAATTTATTTTGTCGTAAACTTTTCTAGTAGAAAAATTTCATTAAGTAATTAAATAACATTAATTGTATTGCTACTTAATACTTATTTAAATTTTCTTTTTTAGAGCAATAATCGAAATATAGATATGATATTACATTAATACCTATTTATCTCTTAATTCTGGTTCATATTAGCAAGTTTTCTCTTTGTAAAGTATAATATTGTATGTTTATTAGTTTTTATTAGTGACAAAATTGACGATGCAATAAACTTTAAAAATGGAACAACAAATTTTCTTATTCAATTAAATTACAATGGTTAGTTCTATTGTCAACATTTTAGTGTGTTATCTTTTGTAGTTTAACTGATTAATTAGTTTCTTATATTAATTTTAGCAGTCACTGTTTTATTTTAAAGTCGACATTGATGCCATGATGGCATTTGAAATGACATTCATTTGTATAGGTACTCATTGAGTTTAATAATGGTGACCTTGCGTTAATCAACGATATAGGCTTGCCAGTGTCATGCAGCATGTGGGTTTGGATAATTGAAGCAACCGTTGATAATAGAACTTAAGTTTTTTGTTTGTTATCTTTTATTTTTATTTTTAATGTCAATGACCCATTTGAAAAAAAACCCTACACTTTTACGAGTCTATAGCAGGTCGCTAAGTTTAATGAGCAACTAACGATATTCGCATGTGCAGTATGGTAATCCACTTTGGTTAATAACTCATAAGTCATAACCATCCGCAATTGGTCAATACTAATGTTCAGACCTTAAGTAATCAGACGAGGTAATGTTGTGGTAATTCTTTTGTAATGTATTACCTATTATTATTAAATAAATATAGGTATTTAAGAAATAACGTATTACATTTCGTATTTAACTTACAAGTATCTGGTTAATGAAAGAAATGTAGAAATTATAGATATTGTTTTAAATGTGGTTTCGTAGTAAATAGTAATATCAAATGTGTAAGCAAACTAAAAGTTTATAACCTATGACAGATTTTGTAATTTATATTAATTATTATTAGGACCGACAATTTAATATACATTTAGAATATGCTTTTTTAAGTGATAAAAATGAAACTAGTATAATACGATTTTTCTAACAAAGTAAAATATAAATACGTTTATAAATAAAAGGTAGGTACATATTTTTCTTTGTTAATTTTGAAAATAGTTTAACTTTATAATATAAATTAATACTTCTTTAATGTCATTCAAAGTAAGCATTACTATACATTAAAATTGAAAATTAGTACGCATTTGTATATTGTTTACGGTAATACAAACCATCTCCTAAAAAATAATTCATATTATAACTTCTATAATTGCAACAATATTCTATGCATACACTTGATACTTATTCGATCAAATAA